CGGCCGCGGGCTCAGGATGCTGCCCCAGCCCTGGCGCCTCTTCTCCCGCGCTGCGGAGGACGCGGCGCTGCAGAGGATCCGGAAGGTGCTGTGCGTGGCCGAGAAGAACGATGCCGCCCGGGGCATTGCAGAGGCTCGTTCCTCACACACGGCTCTGGCTCAGCGGGCTGCAGAGCGTCAGCAGCACAGCCCGTGTCTTGGGTGGTAGCCCCAGCACCCAACAGAGCTTGGTACAGGCAGGTCCCATCAGCACATGTAACACATCACACTAGTTTTGTGCCTGGCTGCTTCTGACCATGCAAGAGTACAACAGTGGCTTTGCCCAAATGTATTTGGGAGTCTTGGACCCCTTTTCCGGTTGGAATTCAGCTCCCCAGATGCGCTTCCTCTGTCTGGACAGCCTTCTCCAGGCCCTGAGCTCCACAGTGAGGGCTTCCTGTGCTGCTCCTCAATTTGCCGTGTATGTGAAAGGCTTCAGGAACTGAAACCATCTGCTGGCATGTGTTTCCCAGTCAAAAAGCACCACTTCTGCAGCATCAGCAAGTGTCAGGGGTTCACTGGAGTGCACATAATAAAGCAAAGATGGTCTGTGGTTTGGAGGAGTTCAAAGATCTCTCCTCTCTGCTGCTTTGTTTTGTGACTAACAGTTTGCATACTCACTTAGTATTTCCAAGCTAAGAGCTAGAAAGTGCTTCTAGACCAGAATTAATTTGAATCAAAGGTGTTACTGAGAACCTGAGTGCTGACAGTCCAAATCAAGGAAGATATCTTCCTGCTTCTGTAGAAAAAGCAGCAAATGTGCATTCTAGAAACTTCTCCAAGTCTCAGGCAGAACATCATCTTGGGGACCCAGAGCAGGGTAGTTGTTTGTCATGAATATAACTGACCAGCCCCATTCAATAAGTCTGTTCTTCACTTGACACTTCCCATGGGGAGGTGACCCTGGCATCCCCTCAGACATGCTTTAAAATACTCTCACATATGGTTTAAAATACTTAAAATGTGAAAAGCACCATTTATGTGTCTCCACAAATAATACAGGCAATTTCCATTAGCTACAGTCCCTGGTTTTCACTTGCCCCCCACTTCTCTATGCTCTGCTGTGTATAAACATGTGTAAAGCAAAGTGGAATGAGTTTGGTTTCCTTTAGCAGCCAGAAACTCAGGACCTTTTCCTTTTCCTTCTAGCGTGAAGGGTTCTCCAAGTTCAACAAGATCTACGAATACGACTACCAGATGTTTGGCCAGGTAGAGTTTTCCTTCATTCCACTCCTGCAAGTGCAGAATACTAATTATTAGAAGCAATTTGTCAGAAGTTAGGTAACTGTATCCAGTGAATGGGGACATTTTGTCTAAAGATGAGGAAAAGTCAGATGTGCTTTTCTTAGCTCAACCACTAACCTATTTCATCGCTTTAAGTCTTTCAACTTGGTTCTGTATCAGTCAAAAAGATGTTGCTGTTTAAAATTGGGAGCTTCCTACAGGAATTGAGGAGACCATGTTGTCAGTAGAGAGAAAAGCTTGTTTTATTAGCAGGAGGGGGGTATCATGACTGTAAATTGAGAGCTGCAGGAAGATCTTGGGCCTGGGGGTAGCTTTTAGCAAAGGATGGGCACTAATTACCTTGCTCTGTCTCTTGCAGAACGTTACTATGGTGATGACATCTGTGTCAGGACATTTACTGGCTCATGACTTCAAGATGCCCTTTCGCAAATGGTGAGTACATGGTACCCCTCACAGGAGGGAGCTGTCATCTTCTGCTTTCAACTCTGAGCTAAGCAGAGCAGGAGGGACTCTGACACAGCTGCAGAGCAGGGTGATGAGTACTGAATTGGATATAGAATATAATATTACTTCAAATTACAGTCTTCAGAGTGCTAAGCCCCCCTGAAGTCGTCATGCTGCTAAAATACATTAAGGCAGACCCAAGCAATTAAACTGATTCTGAAACCTGATCGATGTTTTTGTGTTCTTTGTTCAACCAGGAGCTGTCCCCAGGACGTGAGGCACTTTCTCTGGTTTCCTTCCCCATTGTTCTCTGCACTTGAAATAAGAGAAGCTGCTTGTTTAGGGCAGCCTTCCAGATTTGCTGTTTTCTCTGGTTGCTTTTTCTTTCTTTTGCTTTTTAAGTGTAACTCAGACAGTTTGGAGTTCACATGAAATGCTCAGATGAAGCCCATGATAAAACATATTAATTCCAGTACTTGAACAGCACTTCCTCACAAGACAGCAGCAGTTAGTGTCTCACTAACATATGTTTTAGTTTTTGTTATGCACACTCTTTATCCTCTCTTTCCCAGGCATAGCTGCAACCCTCTATCTCTTTTTGATGCTGAAATTGAGACGTATTGCCCTGAAAATTACATGGATATCAAGGTATGTTGTTTTTAAGAGTTTCCCCTGAAACTCTTTTGAGGTCAGAGGTTCTGCAAATATTGCCTCAGACAGGAGGAAAATTGTACCTTTGTCTTTAACATCAAGTTTCTAGAGCTTAGCAAATTCCTCTTGCATTTTCTAGGACTATACATATATATACTTTATACATATATATATGTATACTTTTCATCTATGACATCAAAAGTCTCCTGCTTATGTACCATTAGAGCAGTAAAGGAACAGCTGCTTTGCTAAAAGTAGAAATCGTTTTTCCAACAAGGTGGAATTGGTAACTGCATCTCAATTTGACCAAAAAAATGCCATTTTCAGCAGACTGTGGCACGATCTGAGCAAAACCATGCTTTATAACAGAGTCAGATGTAAATAAATGACTCAGCTCTTTTGAAAGCTGCCTGATCTATGAGACACACGACTACAAAACCTTATTGCAACAATCTCTATGGATACACGTTGCATTTCATGTTCAGTTTCATTCTAAAACCAGATGACAAAGCAAGTGACCTTGTGTGTCTGTTTGTGTTGTTTCCTCATCTCAGAGAACCCTTGAACGAGAAATCCAGCAGTGCCAAGCCCTGGTGATCTGGACTGACTGCGACCGAGAAGGAGAGAACATTGGCTTTGAGATAATTCACGTTTGCAAAGCTGGTGCGTAGAGCAGCTTCTTCATCAGAGTTCCATTAAAGTGCTGATGTGACAGGTATTGCTGCTCAGAGATCTTGGAACAGAGACATATTCTCAACTTTACTGTGTCCAGGTTAAACATTGTTAAATATGTGGCTCTGATAGAGCAGAAGTATAGTCAGCTATTGGAAAGCTGTAGAATAGGTTGAAAGCACACTCATTTGAAGGTGGCTGTTGATTAGTTGCTCCTTTCCATTGGTGTTTGGCCACTCTTTTATTTCTTTGGGGTTTTTTCTCTATTTCTCTGACAGTAAAGCCAAACCTCCGTGTCTTCCGAGCCCGTTTCTCAGAGATCACGCTCCATGCTGTCAGAACAGCCTGCGAGAACCTCACCCAACCTGATCAGAAAACAAGTGATGCCGTCGATGTCAGGCAGGAGCTGGACCTCAGGATAGGTATGTAAACGTGCCCTGGTGATGAGAGCAGGCTGCCAGGCCCTCCCGTACACCTCTGCTAACAGGAGGTGGCCAAGCGTGGTAGGGGACAGCTTTGTTACCAGTGTGTCTATAAATACTTGAACTCCCTGAGACTGCTTTACAAATGAGAGCCATCCCTCAGGCTCTTCCTCACTTCTCATCTGACGCCGTTGAAGGCACATTGTTAAAGCCCAGTGAGGGATGTTCAGAAAACATCTGTTACTGTATCCTCATGACAAGGCAGAAATGCCCTCTGCAGTGTTGTAAATCTGCTTATTAGATCAGATAGAACCACACAACATCTCATATTTTACTGGAAACACGCTCTTTGAAGGAAGTGTTAGGTTTATAGCTCATGCAGCACTGACAGGCTCCTGCAACTGAGTGTTAAGCTTAGAGTAAAATTAGTACTCAAAACTGTTAAAAAGAACCACCTGAAATGTTGTGGTGATCATTCAGTGTTGTTGTATTCACTTCTGGTGTCTGTTTTCTTTTCTCAGGTGCTGCCTTCACCAGATTCCAGACACTGAGGCTGCGGAAGATCTTCCCTGATATCTTGGCAGATCAGCTCATCAGCTATGGTAGCTGTCAGTTCCCAACACTGGGCTTTGTAGTTGAACGCTTTAAAGCCATCCAGGCCTTCGTTCCTGAAGCCTTCTATAAAATAAAAGGTACGCTTGGGAAAAAGGAGTCCTGGGCTCAGTCTTAGAGGGTTCGGTATGTATAGAAGGGAAGAACATAAGGGCGACAACCAAACAGTGCTGCAGAGGTGGTTTCCTCTTTCTTTGCTATGACCGCTAAGCAGAACTGAAAGGTTTCCCAATAGTGCCTGTATTTCCTTTGCTGTATTTCACTTGTATTACTACTGTAGCACTCAGGTCTGTTGTTCAACACAGTGACACACGATCATGAAGATGACAGCGTGGTCTTCAACTGGAAGAGGAACCGGCTCTTCAATCACACAGCATGCCTGGTCCTTTACCAGATGTGTATGGAGGTAGGAAAGGCTATCAATAGTTGTACAACCCAGTGTCAGCCAAACACTTCCTGTAGTGGTCTTGCTCAAGACGTTTAAAGAACAGTTTGAGTAAACTCTTAAAGGAGATTTTGTGTTTTACCTTGTGTTTAGGATCCCGTAGCAACTGTTGTTGAGGTTGGGAGCAAGCCCAAGAGCAAATGGAGGCCCCTGCCCCTGGACACTGTGGTACGTTTGAACTGTGCTGAAAGGATTTACCTGAAGGAAGCTCTGAACAGGTATTTTACTCACCACTCTGAATTATGCACCAATGCTTCTGCTTTGTTCTGGCTCCTCCAAATGCAGGAACTTGAGAAGTTGGCTTCCCGCAAACTGAAGATAAATGCAAAGGAAACCATGAGGATATCAGAAAAACTCTATACTCAAGGGTAAGAAAGCAAGACTTGGCTTGGTAAACTTAAGTCTTTCAAAAGTAAAAGGCCTTTAGGAGGTGCTCCAGGATGGACTAAAGTGCTGCCTTTCTTCTTAAGGTTCATTAGCTACCCCCGAACAGAGACCAACATTTTCCCCAAGGAGCTGAATCTCTCTGCCTTAGTACAACAGCAAACACAGGACCCAAACTGGGGAGCATTTGCACAGAGGATTTTGGATCAGGGTGGGCCAACCCCTCGGAGTGGAAGCAAATCAGATCAGGCTCACCCTCCCATTCACCCCACCAAATACACTGCTAACCTGCAGGTGAGTTTAGCAAAGGCAGAGGTTGATAGATGAAGAAGTCTTAATAATATGGTTATTAGCAGAGTAACCTCACCTGAGATCTCACTTGACACCATCACAGGAGGACTCTTTCTTACTGTTTGATATTAGGGCAACGAGCAGAGGCTGTACGAGTTCATTGTGCGCCATTTCTTGGCTTGCTGCTCTCAAGATGCCAAGGGCCAGGAAACCACCGTGGAGATTGACATTGCCAGTGAGCGATTCATTGCTCAAGGACTGATGATCCTGGCCCGAAATTACCTGGAAGTCTATCCTTATGAGAAGTGGAGTGATAAGGTAATGCCCTTGAATAACATAGATGGGAGAGGCTAAAGTACCTGGAGTTTAAAATAGCATTTCACTGCCAACTTCAGACCCCTCTACAGAACACCCTTTGGTAATTTATGACCCACTGGGTGTTTCACTCTGAGCCATCTCTGCTGGAAACCTGTGCAGCTTTGTTGTGCCAGCTCTGGATAGATTCTTCCCCTTCTGACAGCATAGCAAAGACCATACAAGGCTGTGGGATTGACTTTACTCACCAAGAGGAGCTGCAATTGCTGTTCCATGGTCTCTCTGGCAACTCATTACTGGCTGATCCTGAGAACCCTGAGGCTGGATCTCCTCCAGACCAGGGTGCTGCTCTGTTATGGCATTGTTAGTGTAACGTTTTGTCTTCAGTGAATAGACCAGAGGGCAATTTCAAAGAGATTCTCCTTCCCTTCAGGTTATCCCACTGTATGAGAAAGGCTCTCGCTTTCAGCCCACTACAGTGGAGATGGTGGATGGGGAAACCAGCCCTCCGTTGCTCCTCACAGAAGCGGATCTCATTGCTCTCATGGAGAAACATGGCATTGGTCAGTATTGGCAGCGTGGCCTCTCGCTCTTGGGAGAGCTTTGTTCATAAGCTTCTTCTCAGCTTCTCTAACAGCAGTTATGTCCCACCCTCAGAGTAGGGAATTCTCTAAAAGTCACTTCAGATAAGAAATCACGTAAATGCACAGAACAAAGGAATAGTAGAGACCTGCAGGCAAAGTCCAGACATCCTAAGGAGCCTGCAGAGAGGCCTCCATATACTTAGGGAGATGTGTTATTTAGGCTCCAGGCTGTGCCTCCCAGCACCTTGCTGGCCTCAGTGCCATTGGGACACAAGGGCATTGCTGCTTCGCACCATAACTTGTCTCCCTGTCCCTTTAGCACCTTGCCCTCTGTGCTAGGCACAGGGGAAGCCACTTCTTGGCACTAAGTGCCTGACAGCCTGTCTGCTTTCAGGGACTGACGCCACTCACGCCGAGCACATCGAGACGATAAAGACACGGATGTACGTGGGCCTCACAGATGATCAGCGCTTCCTCCCAGGCCACCTGGGCATGGGGCTGGTGGAAGGTAAGGGCAGTATCCATTAGGAAGATGGCAGGTTCCTTACATGCTCCTTCCTTTTGCTTACCATGCACTGTGTTCCTCAGGCTACGATTCCATGGGCTACGAGATGTCCAAGCCTGACCTTCGAGCTGAGCTGGAGGCTGATCTGAAACTCATCTGTGAGGGGAAAAAAGACAAGTCTGTAGTGTTGCAGCAGCAGGTCCAAAAGTACAAGCAAGTCTTCATCGAAGCTGTGGCCAGAGCCAACAAGTGAGTCCTGTCTTTGCCCTCTTCTGGTTGCTGTTTTGGGAGGTGCTGGCTTCTCATGCAGGGCTCAGCCTGGAGTGGGATCCTGTCACAGTTTCCCTGGAGCTCTGCCTAGTGCGTGTAGGCATTTGCATGCATGACTCACAGCCTGGCACGCTGACATGAGCTGGTGCCAGCTAACTCTTACCGTGGTTTAAACCTTTAAGATTAAATTCAGAGCTGGGTGGAGGAGATAGCAACATGCACTGACCTCTGCAGGTTGTACCCACACCTAGCCTGTTCCAGAAGCTTGGTGCTGAACCAACATGCTCATGAAGAAGCTCAGAGAGGGAGTGAGGAGGGCAACAGGCACTGATTCAACTGCAGTGCCTGATTGTTCTTTGCAGGAGAGACACACAGGATGCTTTGCTGGTTTCTTTATAGGTTGGACCAGGCCCTGGCTCAGTACTTTGGAGAAGCCACAGGAACTGCAGAGCAGGAGGTTTATCCAGCAGCACCCGTTTCCGTTCGGAAGTGTCCACAGTGCAACAATGACATGGTGCTGAAGACCAGGAAGAGTGGCGGGTTGGTGGTCTTCCCTGTTGGAGGAAGTAGCCTTCTGTGTTGGTTTTCTAGGTGGTGTTCATTTACCTCCCCTCTGCAGCAAGCATGAAAACTTGAGCTGCAGCTAGTTGACTCCACCAGCTACCTGAGCTGTGTGGATTCAGCTGAACTTCTCTCTCAAATACCTATTTTCCCTTAAAAGTTGTTGCTTTGACAATTTCTGGTGGTGAGAAGGCAGGAGAACAGGTCAGTGGCTGTCTTCACTTTGCCTTCTCCTCATCTGGTGCCTTTGTCCCATGGCAGGTTCTATCTCAGCTGCATGGGCTTCCCAGCTTGCAAAACTGCAGTCTGGTTTCCTGATTTTGTGCTGGACGTGGCCAGGGATGAGAGCATCTGTGCTGTGTGTAAACCACATCCAGTTCACAGGTAGGTTAGACCAGTTATCCCTTGAGGAAATGCAGCCTCTTAGACATTCCATGTTAGCCATCAGGGCCAGAGATTTCATGGGCTAAGCAGTCGATTTCCATTCCAGTCTTGGAAAGATGGAGCAGCTTTGGCTTGGGGATAGAAAGAAGAGGGGTTGGAAAAAACCCTCTGTAGTATATATTCTGTATATATATATAGTATATATTCTGCTATATAGTATAGCAGAAATCAAAAAGAAACTCCACAATGTAAAAACTGAAGTCCAAATCGAGGTCTGTTGATGTGAAGTTGTGTGAACGGGGAGACTTACTCTTCCTTTCCTTTTAGACTGAAGTTTAAATTCAAGAGAGGCAGCGTTCCACCCGTGATGCCCCTGGAGTTTGTTGGCTGCATTGGAGGCTGTGATGACATGCTCAAAGAGCTCCTGGACCTGAAGTACTTAAATAGATCCCAGCCCCTATCATCAACCAGCCAGGAAGCCAACCACTCGCAGGTCAACAACTCCTTTAACAGACCTAGTGGTGAAAACAGGCACGTGAGGGGGATCACAAACCTGGCACGAAGACATCTGCTCCCTATGAGCTCCACACGAACACCCAGACCTGCTCTTTCAGCTGCTCCAGATGATGGGAACAACGCAGTGGTGTGCAACTGTGGCAATGAAGCCCTGCTGCTCACTGTGCGCAAAGAGGGGCCCAACCAAGGCCGGCAGTTCTACAAATGCAGCACCAGCACCTGCAACTTCTTTCTCTGGGCTGATCAGCAGCCAGAGGACAGAAACAACGGGGCTCCACGGGGCTCTGCGCTGCCCCAGCCCTCTGCAGGAAGGGGCCCAGCAGGATTTCAGCGCCCAGGAGGAGGAGGGAGAGGCCCAGAGCTCTTTGGAAGCAGCAGCTCCGATCCAGGAGGCAGCACAGTGTGCAATTGTGACCAGCCAGCTGTCACACGCACTGTCCAAAAGGATGGGCCCAACAAAGGGAGGCAGTTCCACACGTGCTCGAAACCCCGGGACCAGCAGTGTGGCTTCTTCCAGTGGGCAGATGAAAACACAGCTCCAGGTAAGGCCAGGCTTGGGGTGGAACACAAGGGGTGGAGGCTGTTCTTGAGGCTAAACTGAACATACTTCTCATGCTACCACAGCACGAGAGCTTCTGGAGTAACTCATACATTTAACAGACTTCAGGTTTGTCTTTAGACCATCTGTCAGGAACACTCTAGCACTGCAGATGTTGCTCATAACAACCAAGTCTGGCTTACCTTTTCCAACCATACATCTGCTGAGCTCCAAGCAGGATGCTTTCCTTCTACACGCAGTAATCTTAAGCATCTGTCTGTCTATGACCTGTTGGATAAAGCTCATCCCTCTTTTCAACACTATTTGGGAATCTGTCCTCCCAAATTCTGGTGCTCAGCTTTATGAGAGCTGTTACCAGCTGGGTCCAGAGTTGGAGCAGCAGCACCACTTTTGGAGATGGTAAACCCCATTCTGTCATGCCAGGGAAACTGTGCTACTCCCTCTGCCCTACTTTAGGAATGCAGAGAAAAGCCAAGTCTTTCTGAAGCTTTGATCAGAGCTGACAAACTGAGTGTGGCTGCTGTGGAGAGATGCTGAAAACAAATACCCATAAAAACATAATCACAAAATAAGGATGCAAAAGAAAGAGCACACACACAAAGGGACAGTAAGCAGAGAGATGGGTGGAGATGTTGTCTGAAAGAAATCCTCCTCCTCCTTCTCAGACATTTGGGCCTAAAGGAGTAGACTAAAGCTTTCCAAACTACTTAATATCCAAGTTTTCCTCTGGGGTGTTGTTTCTGCTTCAGATGTAGGCCAAAGCATGCAACAAGGCAGATCAGTTTCCCTGCTCAATTCCCACATTTCTCTAATGCTGCAAGACAAATGGGCAACATTTAACTGTTCAGACAAAGCTGAAGCAAGTCTAGTTTCGGGTATAATCTGAGTGGTTGGGATAGTACATCCTTGACCTACCATTTTGAACTTACCTCCCGTTTCTCTCCTTCTTCTGACTTCAGAGGTACTTACATGCACGTTGTTTCTCTCTAGGGCCTTCTGGAGATGTCTCTTTGAACCATTTTGACAGCAGTGGATTCTCAAGAGGGTTGGGAAGTAAAGCTAAGAGACCAGGCAGCCTCTCCTCAGGAGCCACTGCCAAGAAACCACGGACCTGCAGCATTTGCCACCAGCCTGGTCACACCAGGAAAACCTGCCCTCAAAACCACTGAGCCTGTGTGGACATCTCTTGAGAGTCTGAAAGGTCCAGGTTGTGAGCTGACACAGGAGCTGGAGTCTAGAAACAAGTCTCTCTGAGTGTTCTCTGGCTGCAGGCTGCTCCTGCCGAGGGGTTCCATCCTCATACATGCATTATGTGCCTCAGCTCAGAAAGGTGGCTCCACCACTAGAGTCAGCCTTTGCTCTTCTGCTGAACAGCTTGGGATAGTCTAAACATTTCAAGGAAGCATTTGGAAACTGAATCTGCAGAGAAACCAACACTGGATCTGGTCCACACACAGCTCCCGCCACGCTGGTGGCTGTACCCAGCCTCCCTACACAAGGAAAAGCTGGATTGTCACTTGGACAGACACCAGGGCTACTTAGCTCTCAGTCCCTGGCTTTCCACAGTGTGGAAACTTAAGCCCCCTTCTAAGTTGATACTCCCTGAAGAACGTTCCCCCTTCTCTTTTGTCGCAGAGCTGCACCCCTTACTTTGGTTGCCCCCCCCAGGGAAGAAGGGCCGGGGTCAGATGAGCTGGGTCTGAAGCTTGCCCTGGAAGGGAAGCTCAGGAAGAGCCTTCATTTTAAACAGCTCCTGAATGTGAAACCAGGTTCTTCCCCAAGCCTCAAACATGCCTCTGGGCTGCTGCTAGCTAATGGGAGTTATTTTTGTCTAGCTAATAAGTTTCTTATTAAAAATTATTTAATTTTTAAATGAGATGCAGTGACACCTTAACTCTGCCTTATTATTCCTTCCTACTTAAAGCAGTTAAGCTATTACTTTAAAAGCACCCACCCAACTCTTGCTCTTTCCACTTAACAGAACAATACAGAAGCTTTCTTGGGAGAATCTCCCTGCAGTTATTCAGGAGTGAGCTGCAGAGGGGTAGGGAATGTGGGTTTAGCTTCCCTACAGCATTGCTGCACGGGGAAGGACAGACAGAGCTGCAGGGAGGTTCTGGTTTCCATACCGAACTCCCTGGGAAGCCAGGCTGCCTCCTCCCTCTCTGTGGGAGCTTCCTCTGTACATCAAAGAAAGCAGATCACAAGATTCCTGCATCCTCTTCTGGCAGAGGATAGCACAGAGTGTATCCCCAGGGCCCCTGATGCTCCTCCTGGACACAGAGGAGCCTCCTGGGGTCAGCACCGAGGTGCCATGCAGCACATGGAAGGCAGGAGGCTGAAGCACTTGAGAGAGTAGCTCAAAGCAGACCACAGCAGCACATGTTCACGTTAAGGTCTGCATACATGAGAAGAGAGCCTTTATCTCTGCAGTAGCCCATCATTATTGTGCTTAAAATCTATGGAGTAAGATGAGGAGAACTTGGGTTGTGTTTCCCTGTCCCACTCACTCCCACAATTAACAGCTGTAGCCTAAAAATACAGACCTGCCAGCTAAAATACCAGGATTAGGAGGCTTTGTAATGCAATCACTGCGCTGGGGAGAGCACGGCAGAAGCCTCTGATGGCAGCAGAAAGCTTTGGTGCAGCACCCAGGCAGTGGGTCATTGCTGATGGCATTGGCCTTAGTGGCTTTATTGGTCTAACCCTGGTCAGCACTCAGGTGAGCTGGATAAATGGCACAAGCTCCACGTCCAGAGGGCACATGTAATGCAGCAAGGGGTACATAGGGGGTTGGAAGAGGGAGGAGAAAGGCCGTTCAGGATGGGGTCTGAGCACCACCAAGCTTTCCATGCGCTAAGGGACCTCCTGTCACCATAGCCAGGGATCGCATCAGCCCTTGGAATGGGAAAGGAGACAGAACAAAGCTGACACAAGATAACCAGTATACACAGGGAAGGTTTATTCTCATCACTAATACCTGGCAAGTGGTTTGGAGGAACAAACTGAAATCATCTCCAGACTAGGAGGGAAAGCTGGTTTATTTTCCTTCCATAAATATAGCTGTGAAAGAAAACTAAACCACAAGAGCTGCTCATACTGAAGCCCACAGGATTTCTCCATCTCCACCAGTGTGCAAAACTAGCTTTTCCCATTAAATATAAGAATATATTCCTTCACTCTGGGACTACAGCCAGAACCAAAGCCCACTATAGCAGCCACTCAAAGGAAGAAAACAGAACACAACACCCAAACAAAACACACCTCCTTAATAAAAAAAGCATAAACCACTTCAGTTCTTGCAAGTGCTCTGCTCAGAGCATCATTCCTGTCCTTTCCTGCCCCGTAGCATGGGGCTCCAAGGGAACAGGACCTGAAGACAGCAGCAGTACATAAGTGGAAAGGTCACTGGACAGACTGGAAGGGGACATTCATTGCTGTGGTTTGTTGCAGAGCAGCAAGTACCTGCAGATGGACGCTGGCAGCAGCCCACCCGCTGGGGAGGGGACACAGAGCCCTGCTGCAGCCTCACCAGGGGAATCAGCAGCTTCCTTCCTGCCACCACCGCTGCCAGCAAAACACCCACTGGGACAAGGGCCATGAAGCCCCAACACCTGTGCTGGAAGCATGTCTCATCCTCAGGACAGAGCCAATACTGGCAGAACAAAGAGCTAGCGCTGAGCTTGCCCCTTTTGGCAGATCAAAGGGTTTCCAACGAAGCCCCCTTTGCTATGGCTGTACCTTCAAGTGCCCAGACAACCACCCAGGTGATGGCTGGGGGCTTACTTTGGATTTCTCATACCCTACAGACCAAAAAGCACGGCACAGTAAGACTAAGCTGCGTGCTGGTCAAACAACCCACCCAGCACACTGCATCTTTGGGTCTGCAGGACACAACAGCAGCAAGGAACTGCTCCCCTCCAGCTCCAGCTCGTCTTGGAGCACAGGGGGAGCCTGAGCACTGTAACAGGCAAAGGACACAGGGAACCAGAGACCAAACATGCTGCACATTGGCTCCCAGTGCCCAGGGGACGGGACTTACCTGTAGGTACTTGA